ATATATATATATATATATATATGACGGACACTCCTCGAGATTGTCGCGCCTCCTTCGGGTGCACAATCGTGTCAGTAACCGTTGCTTGTCGCAATTTATCTCCTGGCAGCGAGACAGGGACGACTCGCGGTTTTCCTCCGAATCCTCCGGAAATCCTCCATGTTTCTCGGATCCTATTTATATAAAATTATAAGATCGAAGGGTTCTTCGTAAAACCGATGCGGATTTGTAAGTCGAGGTTCTAAATTTGTAAGCTTGAGATTAATTATCGGAATTTCAAATTTACTTACAAACGCGAGCTCGTGAATTTGATCGACCTGTTCTGTCTATTTCTCACATCGCATCGCGTTTACCAGATTCGTCCCATTTTCATCTAATGTATAATTTATAGTTTCTAACCATATTATTAGACGCAGAGATTTTTTAGTAGATTTATCTTGACTGATCGAAAATGACAATTCTTCTCATTTTTATACATATATCTATGGTAAGATTTTCTCTTTTGTTTACATATTCTTAATTAATAAAAACAGTTTTAATAGTATTCATCAAATGAAAAGACATCTATATGTTTTATTCTGTTAAGCTACCATTGGCGCCTCTAATGTTTTGATTCTAATAATAATTTTAATTAAAGTATACTTTGATGAATAAAGAAATAAAATATAATATAATAGAAACAGAAAACACGTATCGCTTTTAACAAGTTTGTGCTTTTTCATGGATATTGTGATGAGTGAATTAAAACAAATACAATTATTTTATAGACAACTATTTTCCTTACATATTTCAACCTATCGCACATACAAAATAGATGGGTTAACATATATTTGATATTCAGAAGAATAAAAAATATGATGCGTCTAATAATATGGCTAGAATTTGTAACTATTTGTTTATCCATAATATATAAGTATTGTATGTTTTGTGAAGAGGAAAGGTGAAGCTTGTTATCTCCATTTGGAGATTTCTGTCCTCCAAGGGACAACGCAGTACCATAATTTATTTATCCTCGGTTATCTTGGGATTAGTTTATGACCACAAAATCCGAAGGAATGTTTCGCGTAGATGGTACCGCACACGAGAGCGACGACAACAATAACGATAGGGTAGAGGATAAGTGTTATCTGTAGTTATTATCGTGATTATAACTTAGACGATCGAGCTGTGGTAGGGGAGGGGGGGGGAGGGAGAAGAGCCGAGGGTGAGCTTAATTTTTAACGTTGATAGCGATTATTCTCTTTACTGTCAGTATTACGACACACTAGTGTACTCGTCTCGCTGGGATACCAGCAAGGATCATTGCAAAGGATAATCTGCGAGCCGAGTAAGCAGAGTATATAGATGTAGAGCTATATTTGAACGGCCTGTTTCGCGAAGAGGGAAGGGGGAAGAAAGGAGTTTCGAATTGATTTCCCGAAGGTAAGACGTGTATCGTTCTCTCGAATATCTACAAGGTATCCTGAGAGAAACCAAGAGATCTTTGACCACGAGACATCAAATCGTTTATTAGAATCAGGTCCAGGAGAAAATTTTTAGTCACAGAAATATTCAGTAGATTTGATAAATATTAACTACAGAAATATTAATAAACACTTAATTAAAATTTCTATTCGAATTTCTTATTTATTTATAATTTAATTTTCCATTCCGATTTTGAGAAATTTCAGGGATTTTTATAACGTGTCAATTTTTATGTTAAACTGTCCTTCCATTGAATATAACAACGAATGAAGCGAATTTAATACATTGAATATTTTAATAAGATCTATCACAAAAATAAGACCTTTTTGCAAGCAAGCCGTTTGTTTCTTTTTTTTTTGTAACTTTTCTTACCAGTCTTATCGATGTGCATTGTTTCTCGCTATCGATAAGGCGAATTAGCGAATGATTTTCTTACTCGATTAATCTTTGTATTTTGACAATAAAGTCTCTTTCTAGAATCCTAGAAATAGCGTGGGACTTGCGTAACGTTCTTCTTTTTACTATAGATAGCTTACTCGACAGGACGACGAAGACGAAGTTGGGGGTCGTATAACTCTAGATAAATGTTTTTATGTACTGTGCGTGTCTGACTGACTGCGTCGATTGCTTGATGGTGCGAGTAATAATGGCACGTGTAAGACATTCTAACTATTTATAGCGAAGCATGTGTTGCGGCGTTAAGGATAATTCCTTGTATATGCTGTGCGAGGTCCTCTATAGGACGACCAGGTAGCTGTAAGCGGCTTTTAAAGAAATAACTCTAGTTTACTATATCTTGTTTATTGTACTTGTTCTCTTTATGTTAGGTTTAATGAACGCTTCGATATGTTTCTCTTGCCCCGATGAAAAAGATTCTTGTATTTCATAATATTTTTAAAACTTTTGCATAAAATATTTTTAAGAATTTTCCAGAATTTTTAAATTTATGAAAAAATTTCTAAAAAAATGTTTTAAACTTCATGAGATTTCACAAATTTCCTTCGGAAATTACAGAATGAGAAATTTTAGAAATACTAAAATATTTCAGAATTGAACATAGAGTTTTTTAGCATTTCTAAAAAGTATTCCAATTCGTGTAAAAAGAATATGAGAAATTTTCTAAAAATTTATAGAAATTCTGAAAAATTCTGAAATTTGTATAGAAATTCTGAAAAATTATATTTATGAATAATTCTAAGAAAAATTTTCACCAGGGCAATTTCGATAAATGATTCTTATCGTCGAGGTCAATTGAGTCTGACGATTAATCGCGCAATTCTATTTATTGATTCTGTCCGTTTTATTTCTCCGCCGATGGATACTTTTGAAATGATTAATTTTGCATTTGAGTAATTAAGTATCAAGCAGCGTCCAGTAGCGTGTACTTACATATTTTTAATAAGAACATCGTATTTTCTTTCCCGTCTTCAATTTTTTTTACTCAATCTATTCATATGTTTGATTCTTGTTTTGTAACTTTATTTATTCCGCGTTTCTAGTATAAGCTGTGTATCTTTTTCTGGGTGAAAAATAAAGACTTTGAGAGACCTATTGATGTGTAATGTAAGTCTACGCATCTCTCTTTGTAAAAAAAAAGAAACGTTACTTTGTAAGTAAACAGCGCGTTTTGTATCGACGATAGACTCTGAATGTATCGACTTATCATCGCTGTAATGTATACATATAATTGATGAGATCCTCGTTTTTAGAGATCGACGATGTAATATGTTGACTGTATGCTATCATTAAGGTAATTAAAGAACAATGTAATTAAAAAAGGAAAATAGAGGAAAAGAAATATATATATATATATTCATATATATATATATATATATATATATATATATATATATATATATACAGGGGTGGAGTATAATTACATAAATAATCATTTGTATCTATATTTCGTTTACAATGATTACGTTGCATAATGTAGGCACTTGTATGTAAGGTATTGTAATTTGTTTTCACCTAAAAGTACAATACACCTGTCTACATACATAATAAACATTGATAATGATGATTACAATATGATTGAGTTTCATGTGTAATGTAAATATAGTACTACATCTATTCTGGAGTCCATCAGTAGTCCACGCGCCTTTTTAATCCTTTTCCTGCTGTTAAAAATCTATCGTGTCTGATGCAATTGCGAAAAATTGTTGTGAACATATCGAAGCGCCGTGAATACGCGATTTTGATATCAGATTAAAGCTCATTAGGTATTTATAAATAACGTACGTATGTATGTACTTTTGTTTTGTCTTTTTTAGTTAAATAATTATTTACAAACCCGTAAAACGTAGGGTGTTCCCAAATTATGGAGGGTACTGTATCAAGTTATTGCATTTCCTAGATTTCTTTTCTGGACCAGGTCATCTTCTTTCTCAGTTTTATCTCTTTTAACAGGGTCTATATCCTCCGTTTACTTTTCATACTTACAAGAATGTCAATATGCTGAAAATGTTGGCGTTCGCTCTCGGATTCTTTACTTTTTTGGTATATACTTTCCCATCCATAATGACAGCTTTGTCTCATAGAAGTTTTTTCTGTAAAAGTATAATGGACCTTCAATACACACGTACTTTAGTGGAAATTAAAAGCTTCTCAGAGCATCAAAAAAATGTAAACAAAGAATTTTAACTTCTTGGAAACCTCTATTGATTTTCCATTAACCCTTTGAAATTTCAAACATTCGTACACAGTTCGCGAATATTCTAAAAAGCATGTATGAAATATTTCTTTATATTTCACAAAAATCTTAATTTCAATTATCTTTGTGTTTATGCCACGATTTCATTTTTATAAATTATTTAAATTGTGTTTAGCGAGCTCGCTTAGCTCTATTATTTTATTTTTTATCATTTATTATCTTAAAGAAGAACAAAAAAGCATAATAATTTCAAAACAATTTTTCCATCAAGTTTAAAATAATATTTTTTTTTTTTTACTTTTTAACGTATTTTTTGTATTATAATTTTAATATAATACTTAGGCGCAATATAACATAAACATTACATAATTTGGTACAAATTTTCAAAATAATTTACTTTCAAAAGTGGGGGGAGGAGATTAACTTTGTATAGGTTGATCACTTTAGTCATTTTTAGTTCGTATTATGTATCTTAAAACTAACAAGTTTCTGCAAAGTCATTTTTTCGAAATCTTTTTTGAATAATGATGAAAAGATACTTAGCTAATTACATTCATTTGATATAATATTTGTTTTTTAACAGTTTGAATAATTTTTGAATAATTAAAACTGTTTATTAAGAAAATTAACATCTTTTTATTTTAGAAAGGATGTAACATTCGATTTTTTATGTATATATATTTTATATATATATTGGTGTATATTTTTCTCTTTTAAAAAGATTATTTTTAAGAGATATTATCAATATGTGTCCTGTACATTGTACTATGTCGTGTTACATACAACAATCTCTATTTTAAATTATACCAAATTTTTTATATATCTAATATTAAAAAATTTTAATTTTCTTTTGATTGTGATTGAAATTAAATATCTGTTAATTTTTTTGCTAAAAGTTAAAAATTAATGTCGGGATATATCAAAGCATTGTGGGCGTGGTGTGATTCTGGTAACAATCGCTGGCAAAGTCGGATAGAATCTTCTCCATTTGTTTGCCAGTTTTCTGTACCATGGTCTTCAGGTACCCTGTCTCCTTCTGCAGCAGTACATGGGGATGATCAAATTCCTGTGTAGGATAAGAATCCGCATTTAACATCTATTCTCATTACGAGCGCTACTGAAGAGCGTCATACGTACGTGTCGCATATAAAATATTTACGCAACGTGTACTGCAGGAAATAAAAGATAAAAATTATTTCTGCTGACTATTTATAGGTATAATTAGCACAGTTGACTGTAATAGCTAAAAAATGATTTATTTAAATAAATTTACTTCAGTAAAACGCACAAAAATGAAAAGAAAAATTCTCAAGATTTATGAAATATTTATAGGAAAAATTGACGCATAATTATGTTGCTTTAAAATATTATAAAGCTCAAAAAATAAATTTTATAATCTGAAAAGGAAATTGAGTAAAAGATATATCACAAGGATAATCGATAAATTCTTAATTTGATTCTCCATAATCAAAGAAAGAAGGAAAGATTCCGTAACTTATTTAAATTCGATAATCGACGCTATCGAAAAAATACACAAAAAGATAAGGTCATAAAAAAATTGACTCACCACAACGCTGCCAGCGTCTATCACCAGGATACGATCGCTGTCCATGACGGTGTTGAGCCGATGAGCGATCGTCAGCACCGTACAATTCTGAAACTTCTTTTTGATTGTTATTTGGATCAACTCGTCCGTTTGCGAATCCACATTCGCGGTCGCCTCATCCAATACGAGTATCCGGTTGTTTCTGACTATCGCGCGCGCCAGGCAGACCAGCTGCCGCTGGCCGACGCTGAGATTGGAGCCGCCTTCGTTGATGTGAGTTTCCAGGTCTAACTCCTTCAGCTCGACCTCCTTGAGGGCTTGCCACAGCACTTCATCCATATATGAATTGAATGGATCAAGGTTCCGTCTCAGGCTACCAGAAAACAGATATGGTTCCTGCGGAATAATGCTGATCTTGGAGCGCAGATCGTGCAAGCCGATCTGGCTTGTGTCGACTTCATCGATCTCGATCAGACCATCTACGTTGGCTAAACGAAAGAGAGCTTGGATCAAGGATGACTTGCCGGCGCCGGTCCTGCCGACAATGCCGACTTTCTCCCGAGGAAAGATAACAAAAGTGAGATCTTTAAGCACCGGCGGCTCCAACGGCGCATAGCGAAGAAACACGTTCTTGAATTCGATTTTGCCTCTCTGCGGCCATTCTGACTTGGGTTTTTTATCAGGGATACTTTTGAGAGGAGGCTCACTATCCACTTTGCTGGAAGAGAATTTAAGTAGGGAATATTAACATGAAGATATTTAACCTTTCAGTGTTACTTCTAGTGTGGCACACAAGGGATATCTTTTACTTTGGTATATTAAAACCTTTTCATTACTATAACATATATATTTACTTGTTAGCTATTCCTTGATGTCTGGCGTTTCAATTAAAATAGAAACTTGTTACAAAATGTTAATTTTTCTATGACATTGTTTGCAATATGGTAGATACATCATACAATAATACAATTCACACCGGAAAGTTAGTAATTTAAATAGGTTGGAATAATTTAAAAAGTTCTATATTCACACAACATTACAAAAAAAAGTGTCTAAATAGACAGAAAAAGAATGTATTGTTAAATAAAAAACGTCACCAATTTTTGATAGCAAAAAAGATCTAAATCAAGGATTTGAAACAAATATAACGCTCTAAATTTTGAGATTTCTAGCACGCAGATTTAAAAGAAATTACGGATTTAAAAATCTAATATATATAATCAATAATGAGATGATGAACGATCTCGATAAATATTCATAATCAATAGATTGATTAAATTGTTAACTAAATTCTCTCTTTACTTTGATTTTAATAAGGATTTATCAGAGAGTTAAAAATTGTAAATATAGGGACGTAAGATAAAGTTACAGTAGGTAACTTATATTTTAAAAGGATAAAATAGTTGATAGAGATGTGCACTTAATACATATACAACGTCCAAAGTATAGAGTACCTGTACTCAAGGATACGCTCCACAGAGGTCATCTGGTTCTCCAGCTCAGCACTTTGGCGCATACCCCACTGGAATATGCCGGTGATATTGATACTCTGCGTGATCGCCAAACCTACATATTCGCCATTCCTCGAACCGCGGCCATAGTTGTCCAACATAAGGAAGCTCAGCGTGACCAGCGCAATGTACAGAATGCAGACAATATCCAGCCAAAGGCCGAAGGCGCGCGTAGACGCGATAAAAATGTACGTCGCGGACGAATGAAGATCTTGATGATTATCAAACTCCTTTATAAGGGTCGTTTCCGCCCCAAAAGCACGGATCGTCGATAATCCTTGAAGAGTCGCGTTGAGATGAGCGAAGACCGGTGAGCGAGCTGAGGAAAGTTGAAAACTCTACTCACTTCGAATAAAGTTCTACTCTATTCGAAGAGTTGAAATCCATCGTCAATTCAATGAGATTCGTAATGCTTCAATCTGCGATTGAAACTTTTGTTTATTTTATTGGGAGATTAGTCATGTCTATTCTAGTTAGAGATGAGCCTAAGATACTCACTGGTGCCTTCGAGACGCTTGACGCTACGACTAGTGGCCAGGTAGAAGGCTCTCAGGTAATAAAAGACAATACCGACGAAAGCTGTGGGTATCAGCAGCCACACGTTCGAGATGGCGACCAGAACGGTGATGCTCAGCATCCACAGATTGATCTGGACGCTGTCCATAAACAAAGTGGGCAGCATCTCGTCTACTCCGCCCATATCCTTGGAGAAGCGATTGAGTATACGTCCCGACGTGTTGGTGTTGAAGAATCGCATAGTGGCGCGACTGATGCTGCGGAACATGCGATCGTGCAAGCGCACTGAGGACCGCATGCACGTCCAGAAGAAGATCCACGAGCGAATTAAGGTGATGCAGATCGTCAGCACGATCAGCCCGCTGTAGATGTAGATGCACTGCATGCGGGTGAGGGGACTCCTCGGGTCCTCTACGACGCCGTTTTCCGTTTGGTTCATCTATAAAATTGTACAATTAACAAAGTATGATTAATGTAAAATGAGATCTACGATCTTTCTACAAAAACTTCTTTCTGCTTACGTTGAAAAAAAATTATACTTTTTAAAATGTGCCAAGCGAGACTAACTCTTATTAGCTAACAGATAAGGGATTATTGCTCTTTTCCAAATTGGTATTTCTCTCTTCTTTAATTCCAACGAGCCAATCCGATCGAGCAAGAAGGGATAGAACCGATAGAATTTTCTGGAAAAGCGATTATGCCTCAATTCGCCAATTATTTTCGCAACTTTGTACATAGACACTTACAAAGTGTTCTTCTATCTCAATCCATTGGGCAAGAAAGAAGTCGGTGCTGCTGGCTGCTAATTGTGTTGATATAAAAAGCATAGCCACTATGGATATCACGCACCAGTTTCCGCCAGCGCGTAAATAATTCGTATATACTCTGCCGGAAACATTGCCTACTGTTCGCATCTCAGCCACCTGAAATTAACGATTAAAATTTAGTTTATAATTTAGAGTTAAAATATAAAATTATTCCAATAATAGATAAAAGAACATTCGCGGATTTGAAATTAATATGCGTACTTCTAAAAAAATAAAAGTAAATTCATTATTTAATTATTAAGGATCAACAAGTCTCTACGATTTTTCTGAAGAAAGACAAATAAAAATTCGATCTGATATGTCACTCAATCTGCATTAAAGTGTAGCCGACATGCAGATAATTTTATTTAATTACACAGTATTTTAAGAACAAAGTTGCAAAATTCGTATTTATATGGACCATCGAAGCTTTATTTAAAAAAGGAGGTCTATAAGATCTCATAACGATTTGAATGTTACTTCTACGAAGTAAAATATGATGATTGAGCAGATACATATTTACCACAAATATAAAAACAAATGGTTCCGTTTATTACAATTATTAAAAAGTCAAATTGCACAAAATCTGACTATGTCAGACAAAAGAATTTTTTTGAGTTTTATATCTTTGTACAAAAAAAAAATCAAAAAGGTCTGGTGGCTAAATATTTCTTCTATCAGACAAAATATGATAGAATATTATACAGATATGAGTTATTTGGCTCGTTATTTCTGTCTATTTATTAAACGTCAATGGTAATATTTTTTCTAATAGGTTAAAATTAAACTTAGGAAAGATAAGATACTTGAAGTAACGTTTCGCTATATATATTTTTTTTTTTTTTTAAGATACGATTATTCTAAATCATAATGTTAGTTAAATACGATACATAGTTACTTCAAAAAATAAATAATTAGAAAATAAGTTCAAATTACTTCAGCAGGCCCCTGTTTCGAAGTGTCATCAATCATAAAAGAATTCAAAGATTTGATACTGCTGGTGTGCGAATTTCTACGGCTGGCAGAAGCCAAAAGAGGCGGAGAGAATTTCTCATTCGCCTCCCATTGGTTTTCCAATAACCGACCGAAATCCACTCGCATAGAGATCAGTTCGTCATAAGTCCTGATAAACAAAAAATTGTATACTATAAAGCGTACTAATAAATAAAAGTGGCTATTAATATAAATATTCGCTTCAATTCCCAAGCGAATTTTTTGAAAATAACAAAAGACTTGTTACACGGCGTTACAAGGCGGGCACACGTGCATTTAAATATTCCATGTTAATATTGGTATTTGCGTTTTTTCTGCAGAGAGACAATAATTCCTGACGTTTAGGAAACAATTGATATAAGGACTTAAACTAGAACGTTTTGCTTTATCACCAGATAGATAAGCCCAAAGTAATTAGTTCCGTTAAAGGCCATTAAAGTGTTCTTGCACGTGTACCTGAGTCATATATAGATACTATAACCTTCTGAATTTTAATAAAAATAGGGTTTTTTTTGTTTATAATAATATTAATATTCTCATTCGTCCTTCATTCCTCTCCTTGTGATAAAGGATCAAGGCTTTAATCGTAAAAATAAGACAAAGCAATAAAATAAATGTATGAATAATAAACGTAAAATATACGGATGTCAATAATGTCTTACTTTATTATAGAAATTGTAGCAAGATTATAATATGTAAGATTAAGAGAAATAGAAAGAAAGTGCAATAGAATCGTACCCTTCAGCCTGAATAGTTCCGTTCTTCAAAACAATAATTCTATCGACGTTGCGTAAGTATTGCAATTGATGAGTCACAAGAATCCGAGTCTTGTTTCCTAGATATTTGCTGATGCATTTTTCAAACATATACTTGCCCACATGGGCGTCTACAGCGCTCAAAGGATCGTCCATGAGGTATATGTCAGCGTCGGCATAAACGGCTCTCGCTAAGTTTACTCTGTCATTTATTAATATCACATTATTGTTATTATAATACATATAATAACTAATGTGTCTTTTCTAACTATTTACAATATATTTTATATACAATACAAAAACTTTCAAAAAAATTAATTGGAATTTGTGTGCTTTCTTAACAAAATTAATTTGATTAAAACGGAAGTTAAATAAATAAATTATATTAATTTAATTAAAGCATATAAATTTATTTTTCTCAGTGTCAAAAATGAAAATTCTTATTCCGTACATCAAATGTAAACATCAATAAAACATACATTTTTAAATATTCATTCTCACTGAGAAAAATATTATTTCAAACATTAAATAGATAAGCAAAGAAAGTATTTTTATAATAATAAGAAGAAATAAAAAATTAAATAAATTATAATAATCAACAAATTAAAATACAATGTTAACTTAAATGTTACGATAGAATGTTAAGAAGAAAATAAATAAAAATTATATTATATTATATTAATTATTAACAGCTCGGAATTGCAACAACAATAATAATCAGTATAAATATATGCTCGTGTTTGACCTATCTATCTATACCGATTAAAAATCACATGATTTTTAATTATTTATTAATTATAAAAGAAAGTCTCTGTTAGTTATATACAGATTAAAAAATTTGAAAAATTTTGCAAGTTTTATCTTATTAGGATGTCTCTGAAACGGACCTTGCCCGCTGGCCACCGGAAAGACTGATACCTCTCTCGCCTATGATTGTTTTATCACCATAAGGTAGCAGACTGAAATCTCTCTTTAACTGACATACTTCAACCACATGATTGTATCGAATCTGATCCATCTTTCGTCCAAATAAAATATTCTGTCTCACCGATCCGGCAAACAGCCACGGTTCTTGACTGGCATAGGCCATTTTGCCGTTAATCTGTGAAAAAAAGTATATAAAACAATCGTCAATTGGGCCTTGGCTTCCGTCAAGGTAAAGAGAATTGCGGAATAATAATGTAAGTCGGAAAGCTCTATTAATCACAAGTTAACTAGAAAATGGAAAACCGGGTATAACTGTTAAAGAATTATCAACATACTTGAATAAAACCTTTGTGCAAACGAAGTTCTTTCAAGATGACGTTCATCAGGCTGCTCTTGCCCGCACCGACCTGACCGACGACAGCAATTAGTTCATTAGGACGTACATTTATGTTTATATTATGCAAGGTGTTTTCCCGTTCATAGTCCTGCCACTTGGCGCTGCCATTCTTGATCGAAATGCTGTACTCGACACACTTCGGCTCGTCTACGATGGTGTAGTCCTTTTTATTTTGTTCGGTTAAATCTTCCTTTGCATTTGCCTCCTTCTGATGCTTTGCGTTTTTTTTATTATTCTCCTTTACGCTTTCTTTGTTATTCTTCTTCGCATCTTTGTTGTTTTCCTTGCTGGTCTTCTTCGTTTCGATCTTAGAAGATATCAATTCGTCACACATCAAGAACTTCTTCAGCCGTTTTACGGTTACAATCATTTCCGCTGCCCCTCTTATCCCTAAGTCGGACAAAATAGATAAATAAATTAAAATAAGAATAATATAGAATAATTTGTCTCATATATAACGACAGATATGATTATTAATCCTTACAAATCTTTCTGGATGTGGCATAAAAAGTACTCAGTTTTACTGTAATAATTTTTTGATTTTATATATATAATTTAATAAAGAGAATACTAACTTAACTTTAAACCAGCATCTTTATTTTTAATTGCGATTTTCTGCTAAACCTTTTTGGGCACAGAAATATTAGAACTGCAGCATATATTTATCATTTAATTATGGTGTTATTTTTTATGGCAAAAAGTGCTAGCTTAAAAAAAGTCATTTCTTGTATTTAATAACTTAGATCAATCTAAGCGTTACACAATATCAATATCAATATCAATATAACTCTATAAGGCATAACATTACATAAAAGAAAAATAAAACAAAAGGATCTCACATTATCGTCTTTTCCTGAAATTATCACATACCTTGCGGAAGAAACATAGCCATGGACAAGCATAAACAGCTGTAACATGCGGATATCATGAACACTTTCTCAACCGTTATTTCGTAGCCGAACAGTGTGTAAGCCAGCACTGTGATGAACAATGATATTCTCGTGGTGAAAATGATGAAAGACGTGCTGACACCCTTGATATACGATGCCCACCGGATAATATTAATTTCCATTCTGTAAATGAATTCTGTAGTATTAACTTTTTTCTGCAAAATTATATTTATCTTTTCTGAAACGTATAAACAGAGTTTATTGGATTCGTGTTTCAACATTGAAAATTAATAAGTTCTGGCTATTTAAATTTCAAAATTAAAAAATTCATAACGTTTTATATTTTATTTATTAATAATATCCCTTTTTACTATTATTATTATCTCAGCGTTTGGGACGCGGCAGAATTCTTATTTATAGTTTTAAAATAAATAATACACAATTTTTTTCCTAATTATTATATATTACAAAATTGAACCAAAGAAAATTTTGTAATTAAAAATATTTTACAATTAAAGGTAAATACCCTATTAAGGTAAATATTGTACTTTAATTGTTATAAAACTTTAAATTCAAAATATCACTTTTGTCCCGATTGAGATGATTTTTCTTAATGATCACGTTATTCGATGTACAATCAACAATATGAGAATTGTATGCATAATCAGTGTATGCAGCGGTACTAACTTCCTTGCTTTTTCTATAAGGGCGCTGAATGGATTTTCCCAGGTATACATCTTGATGGCTTGAATTCCACTGATAATCTCGTTCGTGAATCGCACTCTCTCATCAGTTTTGATAGCGATCCTTGATCTCAACTCCGATGATTTTTTGCCCAACCACACTGAGGAATTCCGAAAACGAAACATGAAATAGGATTAGAAGAAATGTTCAATCGTTCTCCAAATAGGATATTAATTAAACAGTGTGTGTACAATGTGTTGATTAGAGGAAAAAGAATTATTAATTATAAATTTAACAATAAATTTAGAAATTTGGGCATGTAATGAAAATTTAGAAAATTGAAAACGGAATTTTTAAACTTTGATGATTAAGAGAATTCAAATTTAGAAACTTAATTTACAATTTGGAAATAATAAAATCTTAATATTTCATCAAAGTTAACTTGAAATTAATTACTTCTAAATTATTATTCATTAATCTGTATTAATATGCATTAAAATAAATTATTTGCTGCAAAATGTTATTTATTAAAATCTACTATCAATTAATTTATATTTATCAAAATTGATTGAA